TTCTCTGATCTGATTGTGCATGACGTGACCAGACATAACTCGTTGACCGTGAACCAAAATACTCCATGATCTGTCTTGATACAACGTTTTATACTGAAACTGAGGTGCTGTAAATTCACAAATTCCAAATACAAATAGGCCTACCTAAGGGTGTGTCCACACCAACGCAACTCTGCAGGAAACATTATCGACATCATCTTTGGACAACAGCTGTTCAACAATGTTGACAACAAAGTTAGTCACACGAATGCAACATTGCTGGTAATAAATGTTGGCAAAAATCTGGGTAAAAGAAACCAATAGTAATAGAAATAAGTGAAGAAAAAAAAACACTTAGCCCTCGGATTAATGTCAAGTGGAGTACGGCACAATCTACTACAATGTGTGTGTATGTATCTGGTATTGATATTGAAACAATTTATTTAGCCAGAAGAATACAGAGTGGATACTAATAAAAATATTGACATGGCTGAGCCAATTGAGAGCCTGAGCTATCTTAGTGGCACCTGATATATACTGTATATTTATATCAAGGAAGTGTTATGTTACATTTAGTATCATCTGGAATAGAACACGTAACATAGTATTAGGAAGAACATATCAGAATGTTACCACGGTTATCACTTCGATGTTTTTATTTTTTTTACATTTACCCGGTATATTATAAGTATATACATATTCTACAGGGGAGGTAATGAACATTAATATGATAAGGGAGGGAAGCAATACAACATAGGTTGTATTAAGGCGAAACAAGAGGACAAACTGTCAGTATCATGTCTTGGGGGCAATTATATAATTTTTGCAATATTAATTGCTATCTATATACATGACAATATAAAATATAATGGTTTTAGTGGTACAATAAAGGTAAGAACATAAAGTAGGTATTACAAAAATATTAATATTTTGACAATAGATATTTTTTTTTAAAAGGAGGGGACGTAGCCTTTGCTCGGATGGGTGGGGTTAAGTTGTTTCGCATCTTCACACATGATACTTTATGGAAGTCTGGGACTGAGAGGAACGCATGGGGTGGTCGTAGTAGCTCTGGGTGTCTTGTATCTCTGATTATTCTTGAACTGGAAATAATTATTGTCAATCAAGTGACTGACAGATTTATAAACAAATAAGGCACAGTGGTAGTTGTGTGTTGGTTAACTAGTTTCACACCTACCACATGTAGTACACATCACCGCTACCAACATGTTGCCTTCCAGTGTTACCAACAACGGCGGGACACATTACTGTTGCCCACAATGTTCTCAACACTACTGCTACCAACACGTTACCGACATCGTTGCGCTGGTGCGGACACACCCTAACATGAACACACGTGCACACAACATACGCACAATTTCGAAAATATAGGCCTACCTAACATGAACACAATAAAAAAAGTAGCTGTGCACAGTTTGCGCGAAACAATCTGACACCACAGACGAATGAAACGACAAATATTGTAAAATGTCATATATCGCTTGCAAGCGACATTTCCTGTTTTACCCATAGTAAGTTTTGTTATTATATGCAATTTCAGAAGAATATCTATTACTCTTGCGAACACTGTAGCATGGGTTCATGTTGGTGGTTACGTTGCGGCACATGTGTATTGATCATTTAGGAAATCCTGACTCATGTGCATAGGTACCCTTTTGACAGTGTGTACACTTAAAACACAAAATATAATTTCTACAAATGTTACATAATAACGACTGGAAGCTGCTTACAGATTCAGTACTATGAAAATAGAGTACAATACCGTAATAGAAAACTTCAGTGGTGTGATATTCACTTACATGTCAACATATTTTTTTTATGAGAAGTCGTTCTACACTCTACAGCATCTACAGAAGACGCAATCAACTAAATTCCTCTAAGGACATTAATTTCCTAGTGCCTCATCCATAATCATCCTTCTATAAAATATAATTTCAAATAAAAATTAATAGAGTAATTGATCTAATTCATTGACGATAATCAAAGACTAACTATCCCTCTATTACTGAACAACTGCACCGTGATACCTGAATACTGAATACCAGCCACAGTACCTCCTAAACTTAAACTATTAATCTTAATGTCAAAGACCAGTAAGCAAATCATCCGCAAATCACGTATTGTGTATATATTAAACGGGGGAAGCTCAGATAGTCTACTGAATCACTACAGCAGCTCATGAAAAATTAACGTGGGCGTAACGCTGTCAAACGTCTACTGTATTTAACAGTTGACCTGTGCATAGCAACACCGTGCTACCACCAACCATGCACTTGATTACAAGTGAGAAAATAAGTTATCCAATAGTCACATATCCCACATTTTCAACTTAGTATACATTGTATCTCGCGCACGTACGTGTGTGTGTGTGTGTGTGTGTGTGTGTGTGTGTGTCTGTGGAGAAAAGACTATGAAAGATGCATTTTCTTGTAAAATCAAGCAAAAAAATTATTTAATACTAACCCGACGGATCAACTACAGTATATACAGTATTTCTTTCGGGTAACCTAACAGCATTGGCTCTCTTTTTGGCTGTCACTCAGAATCGATGCCCTAAATTCACTACCTCTCATCTTTGACGATCCCGTCAGTTTTAATTTGCTGGTTCTTTCCCCCCCGAGAGCCTGGCCACCGCCCACCACATGGTTCGAGGTCTACTTCTTAATATAGCTCTCCAACCATCTCAGCGATCGATTTACACATAATTTTTTCTGGATGAGAAGGAAAGAAATGCCCCTGCCACGTTAGCTGGCACACCCTTGTTCATTACAAGGGAGAGCTGGGTCATGTCTCCCACAAATCTCCGTCTAGATCATATACTGCACCAACAAATTATTTTTAACAATTTATTTTCACAACTAATAATCTTCTTTCTGATGTTACGAACAAACTTCACATTTCGGAAGCGTGTATCAAAATGGAGCGTATCATTCATTACCTACCAATATTTCATCTTACAGAGGATACTGGGTGTTAACTGGCCGTCGAGTGCTGGGGCTGCTCTGTGACTACAACAATTCTTGTCTCCAATTCTACGTCCATATTATTATAGGTAATACAAGTGGACCACGATGGGCAAAAGTTCCTACTCACCTGTTTTCTATACAATAACTCGTTTTCTTCTGGATCTATAGATAAATTTTTTTTCATGCATTATTGTAATTTAACTTTACTTTGCAGGCCTATTCTAACTGGGCTCTTCATAAAAGTTCCACGCAAATTTATATATTACATACTAAAGTGGCCACATTATCAGAGTAAGCCAACATTTAAATATTTCCTTCTCCAGTTACCATATATATATATATATATATATATATATATATATATATATATATATATATATATCATGTAGATCCACAATGAAAACGTGGATAAGATAAATCTTGATAAAATCACACGGGAAAAGGGAAACAACGGAACACCTTAGCTTTCGTCTTTATTCAAGACGAAAGCTAACTCCCTCACATATATATATATACATATATATATATATATATATATATATATATATATATATATATATATATATACAGTATATATATAATCTCCTTTCTAAATTCATACAAATCATTATTTAATAGGCTGTTAGGTTGTTTTCAAAATTTCCGAAATGTTACAAAGAAACTGAGGTTACTTTGATATTTTAAACATCAGTTTTATACGACGTAGAATGAAGGTAGTGACTCCAAGGGATCGCTACGAGAATAATTATCCTTAACGCAATGAAACTTCACGACGAAATAAGTCCAACGAGCACCAACAAATATAAAAATAAAAACAACTCAAACAGCATATGGAGAAAATGATTACCCCCATATGGGTGCCGGTATTTATGCCGCCCAGCAAAACGGCGTATTGTTTGAGTCACCATATAAAGCCATTAAATTTACATTGTTTTGTTAGACCTTAAATACACCTGAGCTACATGATGTGGCTCTTTATCCCAAGATAGAAATTTGGGGGTAACTTTATTTCTTGCTATTCGCGCACACACCATACCCTTGATCGTTGCACTAAGATCACTAATGTGACAGTGTCACACTTGTGATCTTGGTGCAACGATCATGACAAAAAAGTAGCCACCTTCTGCCCATTGTGTGTATCACCTCTCCAAGTGAATGTCCATCCATGCAGCCATCAGCATGAGGAACCCCAGGAACGTAAATATTTAGTTCCGTTCGTCATGCCAGATCGATGGACGTGTGTAGAACAAAATCACCTTGAACAAACCTAACCTAGCCTAATTTCATAACCTAACCTAACCCAACGGGGTTTTGTCGGGACCCCAGTGGACGTGCACTAAGAGATGATACACAATGGAAAGGGGCTGGCTACTTTAGTGTCAGAAGGTTGAATCTTATGTGATATTTTTTTAATTACTCCCTTGTACATGCCTCTTTTGATATACCATAATACACTATATGAAGAATAGAGTTAGCAGCAGAGCTAATACTGTTGGCACTATAGTTAATATTTCAGGTGGGGTGATATGGGCCCCACCCCTTACATCACAGACCCCACCCATCTGTTGCAGGGTAAAGTTTCTATCACTGCTGAAGGATACCGTATTGAATATATTGTACAAGCACGCACACGGCCCGGCTAAAGCCTCGAAAAAAAAGGCCAACTTACAATTAAACCTCGAAGATCCTAGCCTAGTCATATCGTAAACCTTACCACATCCCTGACAATATAGGTGTGCCTAATACCACTTAGACTTATGAACAGTGAAAAACATATCCTTGTGCACAAGGACACTGCTTGGCCCACTCAACACAGGAAGTGAAAGCGGTATCATCCTAGGAACAAAACATTTGGCCTTGCAGGATTGTGCCATGACGGCCATCCTACAGCAGGGGTACATCGCCCTCACCAAGCCCAGTGGAGGTGCGCTGGCCTTATAATCTATAATATTCAACTTGACCACTACAGGGTGCTTCTTTATTACTGATTTACACCATTTCCCCAAGTTACTAAAACGCGCATCATGGTCTCACCTGCGTGTATCGTCGACTGGCGGGGGATCGAGCATCTCTCTGGGGGCTTGGAGGGGTGGAGGAGCAAGGGCGGCCATGAGGGAGGTGACGATGATGGAAGCAGCGGCAGGGGAGCGCACGGTTGAGAGACCTATGGGCGGGGCAGCCGGCAAAGCACGGCGCACCTCTGTCTCTTCGCTTACACCCGCGTCACCGCCCACTTCCTCACTCCCATCCTGGCTACGACGGGGTGACCGACGTCCAGACAGCCTGAGACGTCGCATGCGTCTCATACTCCGCCGTACGACTCTTGACACGGCCGCCGCGAGTCCCGTTCTGGTATCCTCTTCGGATTCACAATCGGCGTCGAAATCTCGGATGTCAGTGTCCTGGGTAGGGGCGGCAGCAGAGTCTGCCTGGTCATGACGCCAAACGCCTGGGCCACCTACCGCTCCTATCTCGTGCCAGGCGCAGTCCTCACTCTCGCTACACGCTGTAAGGAAGCTTGGCGGGGCAAGGTGGCCAGAGGGCGCCGCTGATTCGGTGGGGATGGCCACACTATCATCAATCAAGTCCAGAGTGATACCTACGTCGGCCAGGGTGGGAGGTGGGTCATCAGGAAGGGCGTGACGCTGCTCACCTGTATCGCCCTCCGACACACACATGTAAGAACAAGAGTCGCCACGTTCCCCCACTGTGTTCACATGATCTGAATTACCGGCCAGACTCACGTCATCACTTTCAATAGCCAGCCCGGGCGCAACAGGTCCCTCCCCCCTCCCCCCGGACAGCTTCGCCCCAGCCTCCTCTGGACTCTGGTCATTAACTATTGAGTCCTCGCTCGCAAGGTCCTGCGGTGATTCTTTATACACTTGATCAGAAATATTAGACGATGGCGAATGTGGTCGAGGTGTGCTGACGGGCACCATGAACTCTAAAGCGAGCTCGGCCTCTGAGGTGATGGGCAGTTGCTCATCCTTTGTCGAGGCTGTCTCACCTCCCCTGCCGTATTCCATGTCATCTTCTGGAGGCTCAGATGCACTAACAGCCCTGCCATCCGCCGCATCCTGACCTTCAACCTTCTCTCTACTGCCGGGTAACAAAATATCCACTGGTGTTGACAATTTCGAGGCAGATTTCGCCTCGTTCTTGATAATGCCTTCAAACAGTTCGTCCAAAATATCACACTCTATCGCGCCTATATCGAGCACAGCACCATCACCAAACACATCAAAACTATCGTACCTCCCCCTACCACCTCCCTCACCCTCCACTTCGCCAAAGTCACCAGTCGCAAAAGGCGTTTGCATATCCCCAAATAAATTAACTCTAGCACCATTATGATCATACTTTCCGAAGTCAGCACTCGTGAAAGGCTTCTGCATTTCCTCAAGAAACTTCCCGAAATCATCTGGCCCCAATTCATTCACATTATTCACTAAAATATCTTCACTTTTCTTCGTAAACCCGTCGTCTATGGAACTCTCAGACTCTGGGGTGATCTTTATGGTAACTGCGGGGTTGTCGTGGGGAGGTATCATGTAACTACTTGGGTCGTCTTCGGCGTTCAGGTACACCGAGGTAGCTCTCGTGCTCCGTTCCTGGGCATCGCCGTTCACGTATATGGAGTGAGCGTTGTCCACCAGGACGGGAGTAACGGTGCTAAGTTCAGGACGTGGTTTCGAGAGGTCGTCAACTTCCGGTTTGGTTTTGATGGGAAGGTTGGATGACAAGCTGATCACCGACCTCCCGTGTAGAGGTTCCGCAACGTACCCGCACCTAGGGCTTGACTGTGGGTTTGCTTTTGGGTTCAATTGAGTGTTCGATTGGAAATCCATTGTGACCACTGGTTGGGTTATGGATGGGGAGGTGATGGTGACAGACATAGGAGGAGTGTTGGGAGTAGGAACAGTACCACAACTCTCCAGAATGTCGGAATATGTTGTCTCGCTTTCATTCGCGTCCGTAATCCCACTGTCTTTCTTAAACCTCTTAGAATCATGGCTGTGTACTGCTGCAGCTTCCTTGTCCAATGTGTCTTTGCTGGTCACATGTTTAGAGGCTTGATTATTGCAACCTTCGGGGGCATTTCCCGGGAGATTCTCAGACCCAAAAACATCGACGAGTGCATTTACCTTCACAGCACCACTATCGCCTTTATTATCTGTCTGATATAGATTTACGTCAGCTTCTACAGTTCGATCCTCTTTATGCAAGACATTCTGGTATATAGGGTCATCTGGGCTGGTGGTAACGACGGTGTCTTCCATGAAAGAGCCGTGGCCGACGGCAGAGTCAACCACGCTCTCCTCCACATCACTGAAGGCGTCGTCCGTGGGTTCTTCGTAGATAAAGGAGAAGTATTCATCTACAACACCACCCAACGCCTCCACCTCATCCACCACTGCATCTACGGCGCTTGCCATAGTGCTAGTGTTATTTACAATGAGGCACACATGGGAGTTGGTACCCACCAACGCTTCACCTGCTAATACACAACTAACGTGTGAGGCACTGAGGCTCCCTAGATCTGTTCAGGGACTGTCATTCTCGTACAGCGACCCATTTCCCTTCGTGTTAAATATCCAGTATGTGCATAATCCTCATGTTTCGCGTTCCTTTAGTTTGTTTCTATATTTATATTTTACTCTTAAATGTATAGATATTACAAAAGAAAAAATAAAGAAATAAGTTTAGAGTGGGGAATATCGTACGCCCGGCAATCACCTGACCGAGTTCAGTGGTGACTTGCTCATTGCCAAAATTTTCAATTCTTATTACTCCTAGCAATCACTCTGTTCAATGATAGAATGAAATATATATCTTATTATTCCCGATTATTAATAAATTATTCATAAATAAAACCATGTAGATGGTATTTTCTTGCAAATAAACGAAGCTTAATTACTATTACTATGATAAATAATATACTAGCTGAAACCTCATCGTTGCCCCGGGCGACCAACAGCACGTGTGACAACAGAACGTAAAGAATGACTGACCGCCCATTTAATGCATGCTGTAATACATAAAGTGGATTCACACAAATTACATCTTGTTTCTATTAGTTGCACACATAAATGAAGATAACAACAGTCAAATCTACATGTCTCTTAACCTTTCAGCTAGTTAAAGTGTGCTTATATTGCCATTACTTCATTTTATCTTTTATTGTAGTCTGTACAGTATTAGCAGAGATTAGCTTTGCGTGGACGGAGTACAATAGCTACTTAATTTAGTTCCCAAAGTCGGCCTTTGATGCCAAGCTCACTGGGAAACAGTTTATTGGATTAACTGTTTCCAATGTGTTTTTCGCTCCTGTATCAAACTCCGTGTTTAAACCACTCGTGTTTCGTGACCTTTCTATAATATTAATATTGATAATAAATCAGTAAATTCATCATACAAATTTGGATAGCCGATATAGCCTTCATATGCTCATTTCCATTGAGGTCCCTAGACAGTGTGGTGACCTGCAGTATGTGCAATCTTCATGCCTGAGGGTTGGCGATCACTACCTTCACTCCAAACAAATTTTGATTTCAAGTATCCATCAAAAACAGGTCTCATTCCCCCGATATTTAAAAAAATCCAAAGTTTGCATATAAACCCAACTGCCACTTACACAGAATATACGGGAAATAGCGAGCAAATTATTCATGTAAACACGGGGCAAAAAATAGACCCGCGGTCATTTATCAATGCTGCCCATGCATGATATGATTTTGCTGTTGTCGGCATCGAGTTGTGATCGTGATTAATTAGAAGGGATGGTGTGGTAACATGTATCGTCAGGTTATGTTACGTTCGTTAACCCCAAACGTTAGTTGAGATTATATTGGTGAGAATAAAGGTTACTTATTTGTATTAGAGAAGTTTAATGACATGTAGTACTAGTGTTGAGGTGAAAATGTAATACAAGAGTTGTGGTTAACATTAGTAGTAGTATTGAAGTTAACATGTAGTACTTGAGTTGAATACATGTAATAGAAGTTTAGTTAATATGTACTAGTATTTTATTTTGCTTGTGAGTGTTGACAGACTGTTTTACCTTCTCTCCTTTGAAGAGGGTGGGGGTCTTGTATCCATAGAAGTGGTTTAGTGCTGCCCCCCTTCCTCCTTGACTTAACGAAGGTGGTATATGTGGTAATGACAATTACAACATCACAACAAAATTCATCAACTGACCTAGGTGTGTATTCAGAATACCATCTGTGGATGGAGGCCTTGAAGTGCAGTTTAAGTTTATCTGGGATGTTAATTCTGAGCAAGTGTATTCAGTAAGTATTGCATAGTGATCACTGACTAAGTGACCTGCAATGACCCGAGCCTCGACATTACTGTCTACTAGGTTATACCCAGTCACAATCAAGTCTGCCCCCCATCAGATGTGTCACTTTGTCTGTGTCGTATAGTGTAACTCACATTAGAGTTACACTGGACATCACCGAGGACAGTGATGAGAGTTAAAGTCACCCATACACAGCATAGCATTGTTACCTGATGGCTTTGGTAGCACGTGCACTCGCAGCTCTTTACACTGAACATAAATGTTATGCTGTACAGCGAAAATTGACTGTTTGCTGTCGTTACTGTAAATTGTTGATAGTGAATACTTTCATCATTGTGGGTTTTGATCCATATACAGACCAGACCATTATTTACATAAGTGAGCAGGCCACTTCCTCCTCCACTATTGTATGCTGTGAACCCTGCTATCCTGGGTGCAACTTTTTTCTTGGTGCTGGACGTGTAAGGTTCTTGTAAGCCAAGTACATCAAGGTAAAAAAAATTACAAACCAGGAATGCTGTCCTGACTAATTCTTCCTCTAGTAAATCCTTCTGGTCCTTAACCAAAAACATCTTTAACAACTTCTGCACTCCTTCTTTTCCTCCTCTCTTCCGACCTGATAACTCTATAGCCAACTGTCCCCCTGACAAAGTCAATCTCTTTGGCACCTTATTCTCCTCCAACTCCACCTTAAACGATTCCCACGCTATCCCTCCTACCCGTGCTCCTCCTACTGAACCTATGCACTTTCCTATAATCTCCACTCGCAGGGTTGCTGGTGTGTTATCCAGGTTGGATGTGAGTAAGGCGCATGGACTGGACGGAATACCCCCTCGTGTTCTGAGGGAGTGTGCTGAAGCTCTGGCCCGTGTTTGCTCACCTCTGCCTCAAAACCCAAACTTTTCTTTCTTCTTGGAAGCATGCCTTGGTTCAGCCCATCCCGAAGGGTGACCATTCCATTCCCTCTAACTATCGCCCCATTGCCCTAACTTCATCCCTCTCTAAGATTTTCAAAACTATCTTGAACTCCCATTTTCTCCGTCACCTTGAACGCCTTTTTCTTTTGTCGTATCACCAGTATGGCTTTCGCCAGGCGAGATCTACTGGTGATCTGCTCTCCTATTGCACCCATCTTTGGTCATCCTCTCCTAGGAATTATGAGGAAACTTTCGTCATGGCCCTCGACATCTCCAAAGCATTTGACAGGGTATGGCACAAGTCTTTGCTAACTAAACTTCCATCTTTTGGTTTCTCTCCCCCACTTTGTTTTCTAATCTCTTCCTTCCTTGAGAACCGATCCATGGCAGTTGATGTCAAGGGATTGATCTCGCTCTTTTTCTACCAATAGTGGTGTCCCACAGAGTTCTGTTCTTTCACCAACTCTTCATTCTTTTTATCAATGATTTACTTCACATTACAACTAATTCTATCCATTCTTACACTGATGAATCTACTCTTCACTCTTCTTCACATTTTCCCCTTCCTCCTAACTCTCAAGTTAGATCTGTTTCTAGAGCTGATATCATTACTTCTATCAATGCAGATCTGTGCAGCATCTCTGAACGGAGAGGTACAAACTTGGTTAAATTTAATAGTAATAAAACTCAATATTTACCAATTACACTTTCTAAATTAGACGATCTCCCACCAATTACATTTCAGGACGCTATCATCCTGCCAAAATCTGAAATAAATGTTAGGCCTCACCATTTCCTCCAATATGTCCTGGAAATCACACATCCTTTATACAGCTAAAGCTGCCTCTCGAAAATTGGGAATGCTGTACAGATGCCGTAGCTACTTCACTCCTGAGCAGTTGCTCCAAGTATATAAGGGATTCATTCGTCCTAACTTGGAGTACTGCTCTCATATCTGGGGTGGCTCTTCTTCTGTCCAACTGCTAGATAGGGTGGAATCAAAGGCATTTCGTCTTATTAACTCTCCTCCTTTAGTCATCAATCTCTCTTCCCTTTCTCTTCGCCACAATGTTGCTTCACTCTCTCTCTTTTACAGGTACTTCAACGGGTAATGTTTGGTGGATTTGGCATCCTGTGTACCGCCGGCAAGGCCGTGGGCTCGTAACACACGTCTTGCCCGTGGTGTCCACCGTTTCTCTGTGGATGTCGGTCACACGAAAATAACCTGTTATAGTGCCTCCATCTTTCCTCACAGAGCCAAACTGTAGAATGCTCTGCCTTCTTCTGTGTTTCCATGCTTATACAATCTGTCTCACTTTAAAAAGCTGGTTTTCCAGCATCTTCGTGGTGTAGATTAATACAGGATAACCTTTTTCTTCTCTATACAGTATTCAATTTTTTTGTTCTTATTTTCTCGTCCCCCCCCCCCCCCAGGCCCCGTTGTGGGTCGTTTGACCTGTGCCCGGGTGGGCTAATTCCCGTAAAAAAAAAGTCATTAATTCTGCGGTTAACACTCCAGATTTTCCATGATATAAACCTGTGTTCGTGTTACTCCTGCCATCTTGAACCGAGTTGTAAGAGTTGAGCTGGTTTCATAGATCACCCTGATCAAAAAGTTATCCCTTTCATATTCGCCACCCTTGGAATTCTTGAGAATGCGCCTTGCCACCTTTATTCCAATAGGCTTTTTATACACAGATTCCCTCATTAGTTCCACGAGTTCCTCCTCCGAGAATGATGGAGGAAGGACAGTTTTTAGACCTGGGGTTATGGTAGTGACCACGCTGGCAGTCTGGGCCTCATTCTCCCCATTCATACTTCCATCATTACCGGTCTCACTCTCCTCACTCACATTCACATCATTATGGGCCTCAATACTCACATCATTATGGACCTCACTCATACTCACATCAGGCAGGTTTTCTACACCATGAGAGGAGACACCAGCTACTACAGAAGCTCGACTGACACTATCACTACCATTCTTCACTGGTACACTTATTTGGCAGGCTTTAACCTGCCCTGCATTGGCTAATGAAGGAAACTCACTGTGGATGTTGACTTCAGGTGGTGAAGGCGACCCGGCAGCATTGGCATTGTCATTACTGAGTGTGACTGCTGTTGTGGGTGGAGGGGGTCTCCCAGGACAACCAGGCCATCACACCCTCCTCCCCATACCTGGGATACTGCCTCCTGGTAGGGGAGGCCTGCTCTCCCCCCTTCCGAGAGGCAGTTTCCTTGGTGGGGCAACTCCTCGTGTTATGCATTCCTGTGCAGATA